GGCGAAACGTCAGGAGAGAATGCCTCTAGAACATGGCCATATAGCCCGAAAAAACCTACAACAACCCAAACCAAACAGTTGTATCGCATTTTTAACAAACAAACAAACAAACACAACACAACGTTTGCAAGCTTGGTAGTTCGTTAAATGTCCGCTGTTATTAAAATGCGTAAATACAGGGAATGGAGAGTGTTAATTAAGGTGATGATAGTATTCTTTGGCATGATCCTGGGTGGGGCCCTCAGCTGTGGAATTCCTTCCTTTTCTTCCTCCCACTCTGCCCCCTTCCCTGGGTTCACTCCTCGAGGGGTCCACTGAGGTCAGTAACACCATCCAATCCCTCCCTGCAGATGGCCACCTGGATTCTTCCATAGAATCCTATTGGAAGAGAGTACAAAAGCCATCTGGTCCTCCAGAGAGGATGGTACCATCCAATCCCTCCCAGCAGATGGTCATCCAGCCTCTGTTTAAAGACTTCCATATAATCCTTTTGGAAGAGACTGTAAAGGCCATCCAGTTCAATTTTCTGCTGTGCACCATCCAATCACTCCCTGCAGATGACCATCCTGCTGGAATCTCTTTGTTTGAATGAGTGGGCCAGGAAAATAGGCCTGAATCTTTTGCTGACACCATTGAATCCTTGCTTTGTTGGTCTTGTGCCAAAAACTTATAGCCTCAAAGGAAGGGGCTGTGGTTGCTGAGTGGGTGGGACGTGGATACGGAGTACTCCACGTTAGACCCTTTGAGTGTTGGCATCCTTGGCTTGGCTTCACTCCTTTCTCATTCCTTCCTTCCTTCTTGCAGGAGGTGATGTCTTCCCGACGGAAGGAAAAGTCCAAGATGGCGGCGGCGGCATCGTCCTCTGCGTCCGCGGCGCCAGTGGCAGGGAGTTCCAGCGGCGGCAGCAGCAGTGGGGGCTCCCCCTCCCCGGGGGACACTCTACCCTGGAACCTGCCCAAGCATCAGCGCACCAAGCGCACCAAGTCGGCCTCCGGCAGCAGTGGGACGGTCCTGGACCCGGCTGAGAGGGCCGTCCTCCGCATTGCAGGTGGGACGCGGATACGGGGTGCCATTGGTGGGACGTGGATACGGGGTGCCATTGGTTATTTGTCATGTCAGAACAACCAGTCAAATTATATTACATTTCTAACAGAACAAAGCAAACCAGAGGTGCCATTGGTGGGACGCGGATATGGGGTGCCACTAGTGGGACGCGGATATGGGGTGCCACTGGTGGGACGCGGATACGGGGTGCCATTGGTGCAACGCGGATACGGGACGCCATTGGTGCAACACGGATACAGGGTGCCATTGATGGGATGCGGATACGGGGCGCCATTGGTGGGATGCGGATACTGGGTGCCATTGGTGGGACGCGGATATGGGGCGCCATTGGTGGGATGCGGATACAGGGCACCATTGTGGGATGCGGATACGGGGCACCATTGTGGGATGCGGATACGGGGTGCCATTGGTGGGATGCGGATAAGGGGCAACAGTGTGGGATGCGGATACGGGGTGCCATTGGTGGGATGCGGATACGGGGCGCCATTGGTGGGATGCGGATACGGGGTGCCATTGGTGGGACGCGGATACGGGGCGCCATTGGTGGGATGCAGATACGGGCATTGGGGTCCATCTACTGCAGGCCTGGGCCAACTTGGGTCCTCTATCCATGTGTTTTGGACTCCAACTCCCACCATTCCTAACAACCTCAGGCCCTTTCCTTTTCCCCCTCAGCCGCTTAAGCTTAAGTGGCTGAGGGGGAAAAGGAAGGGGCCTGAGGTTGTTAGGAATGGTGGGAGTTGGAGTCCAAAACACGTGGACAGCCCAAGTTTGCACATGCATGATCTACTGCTTTGAACAGGTTGCGTCCTTCTTTGGCAGGAGACTGTCCGGATTGTGGCTGGTCAGTTGTGTTTGCGTTGGGATCACATTCAGGCCCCTTTTTGTGCAACCATGTAGTGTGTTGTGCGTCCATTTGGTGTGGTGCAATGATATTTCAGTTGCGGTCCTTCCAGGAAAATTGCTTTTGTATCTGTGCTATATATATATATATGTGTGTGTGTGTTTACTTCTCCCAAAGGGGACTCAAAATGGCTTGACGTAAATGCATTGGTATCCAATGTAAAATATGTAAACATTGCAACAGAATTAAACACAAACAGTATTTTAAAAAATTGTGGGGTCGTTGCAAGAAAAAATATGGAGTTTGAAAACAACTACGTAACAATATGGTTTGTGTTCCTGAGTTATCGATATCATTATTTCCTAATATGGCGTACCTCTACTTGGGGGTTGCGACCCCTAGGAGGGTTGTGAGGAGGTTTCAGAGGGGTCGCAACTCCCAAGTGGCTTTAGGAACCCCTTAGAGAAAGAAAGCTGAAAATCTCTCCGCCTGTCCTTCTTTTCCTTTTTGGAAATGGATGGCAAATCCTCCCACCAAAAGCCCTTCTCTGCTGTGATTGGCCGGCCCCTCATCCAAGGGAGGGCTGTTTCTGAGACTCCAAGTAGGGAGGGGAGAGTAGGCATGGTCAACACATGGAAGCATGACTCCCATGTGCGAAAAAGGGAGAGCATGTGAGGTTGGAGGGAGTCTTGCACCAGCAAGTCCCTTCAAAGCATGAAGGTTCTGTGTGGGAAGTTTGGCCCAATTCTATCGTTGGTGGGTTCAGAATGCTCTTTAATTGTAGGTGAACTATAAATCCCTGCAACTACAACACCCAAATGTCAATGTCTACTTTCCCCAAACTCCACCCGTGTTTACATTTGGGCATATTGAGTATTTCTGCCAAGTTTAGTCCAGATCCATCATTGTTTGAGTCCATAATGCTCTCTGGATGCAGGTGAACTACAACTCCAAAACTCAAGGTCAGTGCCCACCAAACCCTTCCAGTATTTTTTGTTGGTCACGTGAGTTCTGTGTGCCAAGTTTGGTTCAATTCCATCATTGGTGGAATTCAGAATGCTCTTTGATTGTAGGTGAACTATAAATGTCAGCAACTACAACTCCCAAATGTCAAGGTCTGTTTCCCCAAACTCCACCAGTGTTTACATTTGGGCAGATTGAGTATTCATGCCAAGTTTGATCTGGATGTTGCTTGCGTCCACCGTTCTCTCTGGATGTAGGTGAACTACAACTCCCAAAATCAAGGTCAATGCCCACCAAACCTTTCCAGTATTTTCTGTTGGTCATGAGAGTTCTGTGTGCCAAGTTTGGCTCTATTCCATCATTGGTGGGGTTCAGAATGCTCTTTGATTGCAGGTGAGCTATAAATCCCAGCAACTACAACTCCCAAATGTCAAGGTCTATTTCCCCGAAACACCACCAGTGTTCACATTTTGGCATATTACGTATCAGTGCCAAGTTTGGTCCAGATCCATCATTATTTGAGTCCACAGTGCTCTCTGGATGTAGGTGAAGTGAACTACAACTCCAAAACTCAAGGTCAATGCCCAGCAAACCCTTCCAGTATTTTCTCTTCGTCATGGGAGTCCTGTATGCCATGTTTGGTTCAATTCCATCATTGGTGGAGTTCAGCATGCTCTTTGATTGTAGGTGAGCTATAAATCCCAGCAACTGCAACTCCCAAATGGCAAAATCAGTCCCCACCAACCCTAACAGTATTCAAATTTGGGTGCATCAGGTATTTGTGCCAAATTTGGTCCAGTGAATGGAAATACACCCTGCATATCAGATATTTACATTACTATTCATAACAGTAACAAAATTACAATTATAAAGTAGCATCATTATTATTATTATTATTGTGTTATTATTATTATTATTATTATTATTATTATTATAGTGGTATTATTATTATTATTATTATAGTAGTATTATTATTATAGTGGTATTATTATTATTATTATTATTATTATTATTATTATTATAGTAGTATTATTATTATATTGATATTATTATTATCATTATTATTGTGGTATTATTATTATTATATTGGTATTATTATTATTATATTGGCATTATTATTATTATAGTAGTATTATTATTATCATTATTATAGTGGCATTATTATTATTATTATATTGGTATTATTATTATTATATTGGTATTATTATTATTATTATTATTGTGGTACTATTATTGTGGTATTATTATTATTATATTGGTATTATTATTATTATATTGGTATTATTATTATTATTATTATTATAGTAGTAATATTATTATATTGATATTATTATTATCATTATTATAGTGGCATTATTATTATTATTATATTGGTATTATTATTATTATATTGGTATTATTATTATTATTATTATTATTGTGGTACTATTATTGTGGTATTATTATTATTATATTGGTATTATTATTATTATATTGGTATTATTATTATTATTATTGTGGTACTATTATTGTGGTATTATTATTATTATAGTGGTATTATTATTATTATATTGGTATTATTATAGTAGTATTATTATTATAGTAGTATTATTATTATTATATTGGTATTATTATTATTATTATTGTGGTACTATTATTGTGGTATTATTATTATTATAGTGGTATTATTATTATTATATTGGTATTATTATAGTAGTATTATTATTATAGTAGTATTATTATTATTATATTGGTATTATTATTATTATTATTGTGGTACTATTATTGTGGTATTATTATTATTATTATTATTATTATTATTATTATTATAGTATTATTATTATTATATTGATATTATTATTATCATTATTATAGTGGTATTATTATTATTATATTGGTATTATTATTATTATATTGGTATTATTATTATTATTGTGGTACTATTATTGTGGTGGTATTATTTTTATTATATTGGTATTATTATAGTGGTATTATTATTATTATCATTATTATTGTGGTATTATTATTATTATAGTGGATTATTATTATTATTATTATTATTATATTAACCTGCCCAAACTTTGTTTTTTAGTGGAGGGAGGGGCACACACCATCCCGCAGCGGCACGTTTTGCTCTAGTTTTGCCGCGAATATCTCCTTGAGTCTCAACCAATTGCAACCTAGTTTGTGTCAGGCACAAAAACGAAGTTTCTGGAACAGAACAACTCTTTTCAAAGGAAGGACTGGACAATTGAACAGGAAATAGCACCCTCAAACCAGGAACAGGAAATATTTCAAATGTTGTTATATAGTAAAAGTGAACTGGTGCATTTGGGAAAATGGGAACGGAGCGAGACACAGCGCCGTGGATTCAAACAGGAGGGAATAAGGTTCCACCCAGGGGCGGCTTAACCCACACGCAAAGTAAGCCTTTGGGGTAGAGTTGGTTTTGCCCAGGGGCGCTCTTGAGGTGCTCTTGGGGGAAAATAGACCTTGACATATGCAAGTTGTAGTTACTGGGATGTATAGTTCACCTGCAATCAATGAGCATTCTGAACTCCACCAATGGTTGATCTAGATGGCCTTTGGGGTCCCTTTCCAACTGTAGGATTGTATGGGGGGCTGTCATCAGAGTCTGGATGGCCATCTGTTGGGACTGCTTTGATTGTGCCTTCCTGCCTGGCAGAAGGGGGTTGGCCTGGATGGCCTTTGGGGGGCCCTTCCAACTCTAGGATTATATAGAGGACTGTCATCAGAGTCTGGATGGCCATCTGTTGGGACTGCTTTGATTGTGCCTTCCTGCATGGCTGAACAGGGTTAGATTAGATGGCCTTTGGGAGCCCCTTCCAACTCTAGGATTGTATAGGGGACTGTCATCAAAGTCTGGATGGCCATCTGTTGGGACTGCTTTGATTGTGCCTCCCTGTCTGGCAGAACAGAGTTAGATTAGATGGCCTTTGGGCTCCCCTTCCAACTCTAGGATTGTATGGTCATCTGTTGAGAGGGCTTTGACTATGCAGAAGGGGGTTGACCTGGATGGCCTTTGGGGACCCCTTCCAACTCTAGGATTGTATAGGGGACTGTCCCCAGAGCCTGGACGGCCATCTGTTGGGACTGCTTTGATTGTGCCTTCCTGCCTGGCAGAACAGGGTTAGACTGGATGGCCTTTGGGGTCCCCTCCCAACTCCAGGATTGTA